GAGGTCGCGCGGGAATTTTGCTTCATTCTTTTTAAATTTATTTTTCGAATCTTGTCGAGCCCTTGATGGCCCTCGGAATTTTGGATTTTTTTTTCGGAATTTGTGCATCTTTTTGCATTAGCTAGGAATTAAAGAATTTAGGAATTCGGGATTTTTTTTGCCGCACGCTATCTTTCTTGCACGCTTCTTTTTGCGGTTGCAACGGAGCTCTGATAAGTCGGCGCCCTTAATCTTGCAAGTAACTGTAAGTTTTGGTTGAGCGTCATTGTACCTGTATCTTTCTTCTTGAGCTTCGTTTTTCCCGCTCTCTCTCTTTCCCTTTTGTTGTGCCTAGTTAATCATGAGGCCTGCATGCTCGGATCGATGCGTGGACAGTGGCTACGTCCCCCACGCCGCGGTCTGGCCATGCAGAACGTAGGCGCTCCCTCTCCTAATCTTCCTTCTAAGTCCCTGTAATTCGGTGTTCTTCGCGCATGCATGCACGCTATAAATTTCGGTTGCGCGATTAGATAGCTCTCTTAACCAACTGTTAGAAGCTCGCGGTAGCGCGATCGGTGAGGGTCGGCTCACGAGCGAAGTAAGAGGTGAGTTGAAGTGGGAGTCGGGCGACCAAACGAGCTGGTGCCGAATGCGCGGGGTTGACGCGTGGGGCTACGACGGACTGTAGCGAGCGGGCGAACCTGACGGGTGCAGGAGGACTAAGCGGGGTGACGACTTCGTGGGTTGGTGCATGACGACGGACTGTCCGAATCAGAGAGAAAGAGAGAGAGGAAGAGGGAGCTGAGGTTGATGGACGTGGAGTTGCAATTTTCTTTGTCTTATCTCCCTCTTTGCTCTTGTATATAAATTTTGATCTCAGCTCAGGGCAACTTGCCCGTTTTCTTTTGTTTTCGGAATCCTTGTCTCGGTTTCAGCCCACACTCGTTTTGTGATTGATCTTGATCTCGTTTATTGTGTGTTTTGTCGAATGAATGGATGAATGAATGTTATGTCTGTTGCTTTTCTTTTGTTAGGTCCTTGCCTTCGCTTGCCATTATGATACACCCTTAAGCATAGTAGAGACTTTTGCATAGTCGTCATATTTGCTTCCATTATTGCTTATCACGTTGATCCGCTGTTGTTCTGATGTTGTTGCGATGGGTAACGACATTCTACAAGCTCGGGAGTGACTGCTCACGGATCACGGAGGAATTAGATGATTGGGGTAGTTGTTTACGGTACATGGTGATTTTGCATAAGGAATTAGGCTCTCATTTTTCCAGAAACAAGTGAATACCGCGCGGGGATACGTGTGAACGCGATCTGATCTGCGCAGCCTACACGTGTCCATGCGCGCCGAGTCGCGACCATTGACGAATCTGACACCTTTGGTATCGGATAGGCGGGAATTTTCCACTACCCCGCAATGACAAGATGACGAGCTCCAAGGACTCAGAGTACTTCGACCTGTGGGTGAAAGAATGTATTAGGCAGAGATACCCGGAATTCCCCTGCCTAACCGAGAATTGATTGTGCCCCAGGGAGTTTCACTATGCCACAACCAGCGATCCGAGGTGCCCCGATTTTCCCGCTACGGATAACACGCAATACTTCATATCCCTCGGCTTCGTCGTTATCACTACCAATTTCCCTCCCTTCTGTATCCTCCTTCCATATCACCAACTCACGGTGGTACTGTGGAATTCCATCGCCCCGTATTGGCCCCACACGCCTTGCGGAAATTGTCGGCGATGTGGCAACCGACGAGCCTCTGAAACTACGGGGCCTAACCAAAAAGCGCGACGACAGACGCCATGTGTCTGCACCCGAAGGCTTGACTCATCGGAATCACAACCGGCTGGCCTCTCCCCGATCCGCCGCCACCAAAACAGATGGATCGGATGGCCTTGAATGCACCGCGCATGCCATCTGCCTTGTGCTGCACGACCTCGATCGCCATCAGACCGAAAGTAACTCGCCCCCTTAGCTCTATTGCATCTATGCCCCTGAAACTTTGTCACAGGAGATCTCAGTTCCGACCTTGGACTCACCCCCACTTTCCCAAAAATCGTTGGCACACCCCTTTTCGCACTTCCAGGCCCACATCCCACTCCGATCAGGAAGTCGCGCCGGGCGTGAGGTTGGGCGTCACATCACCACTAGCGGTGTCGGGAAGGCTCCATCTATTGGTGGGGAGCAGCACCTGCTGGAAATCGGGTCCAGCGTCCCTGTACATCTCAAAGGTTTTGTAAAAGCTGTGTAAACATATGTGTGCAGTGCAAACACTGCCTATGTCATCTGTGTGCATTATTCCCTAATATGATGTCAACCGGGTATCTCCCGATGCAGCAAGAGGCATTGACTACTTCCCAACACACAGGGAAGGATTGACCTCCTGCCATCCCAATCAGCAATCAACAACACCAGAAACCCTAATCAACCCCAAGCTAGGTACTCTTGCTCAATCAATAGAACACAATTATCAGAAAGAATCACTCATGTGATCGAGCAACGATTAGGGTTAGGGAACCTGCTAACCCTTGACAGATAGAATACAGTTCCCCTCTACCCCACCCCCAGCTCAAACATCTCACATCATTCTTAGGGTTCATAGTAGATAAGAAGGATAGGATAAATAGGGTTCTTCCTTCATGAGTCATATATTGATGACATATACAGACGGTACTGGATGCACAGTGGGGCATATCCACACATAAATGCATAGGGACGCTGGGCCCCATTCCCAGCTGATACACAACATATCTTTGTACAGGGATGCTGGACCCAATTTCCAGCAGGTGCAGCTCCCCACCAATAGATGGAGCCTTTGACGTTGGGGCCTACTTAACAAGGATGCTCTTACCACCAGTACTTGGCCCAGCTATCGGCCGCGGAAGGATGCTCTTACCACCAGTATTTGGCCCAGCTATGGGCTGCGGAAAAAGAAAGAGTAGAAACGTTCTAGTCGGATGAATTTGGGCGCTCCTGTCGTAGCCCGTACGTTTCCTAAAACCGTGGCGCGTTGACTCTAGGAAGTTCAGACGAAAAAAAGAGTGAGAATCGTCGAAACAGGCGAGCTCTCGCTAAGAATGGAGAGTGATCCAACGCGAGGTGCCGGGGGGTCTGGGTTGGAGCCGGCGGGGGGTCTAGACGGGGAAGAGTACTCACAGATGTATTTCGCTAGGGAAAATTTTCGATATGCCCCTGGAAGTTTGATTAATTTGCACGGCGCCTCTCTGGCGGCCGACTCACCTTGCTGTGCCCCTGGGGCCTCTGAAGTTTCCTGCAGGCCCCTCTCAGTGAGGGGCGCAACTTTCCAGCATGGCCCTGTGGCCGTAGGTCACGGCCAAGGGCATACTACAAATTTGGAACGGGTACCGGTAGGGGTATATTGAACATATTTCAGGCCCAAACGACACCAGGGGTTTTTCAGAAACTTCAATCTCTGTGAGAGGGCGCGGCAGGGTAAGGCAGCCATTAGAGGGGCATGGCAAATAAATCGAACTGGAGGGGCATATCGAAAATTTTCTCATTTCCGTTTTACGTATCTGGCTGCAATAGCTGGCCAAATCCAGTCGAAGAAATGTGCTGTGCGAGTCTAGCAGTCCATTGTGTTCGCTCGCTGACTTCGTGCCCGTTAGCCGCGCTATGAAAACATGTGGTTGCTAGATTCGTTTGTTGACGTGTCGTACAGAAAGATAAGAAACGTATGCTTGATGACGTGGCATTGCCATGTTGGAAGCGGTGGCGGCAGAAGATAGGAGCCTCGAAATCCATATTCCCTTCCCGTTTGCGGTGTGCATGGTGTGATGTTCACGTGTCCTAACGAAAGAGGAAGAAGCGGCGTGTGCTGAGGTGGCATTGACACGTGACGACAACGACAGAAACGAGTCTCTCTCTCTCTCTCTCTCTCTCTCTCTCTCTCTCTCTCTCTCTCTCTCTCTCTCCCCCCGAAAGTAAGAGGACATAGGCAATATGCAATACTCCCTCCCATCGCTTTTGCAATGTTTTCCGAAAAGTCTGTCCCCGATTGACTCAGACATTCCACGTGGCTTTGCCATTTCGCCTGACTGAGTCCAGACATTCCACGTGACAGTACCATTCCGGGTATGAGACAGTGGCTGCTATTGATTGGGGCGGGCATCCTTTTTCTACTTCGGAAGTGCAGATACTACGTATGACAGGGCATACTGGCGGGCACATAGCAATTGTAGTTCCCCGATTGAATCTGGGCGCAACTACGGTAGGAAGCATTGTGGAAGGTCTGCTTATGAGGATGTCATTTGTTTGCTAGTTAGTTTCTTGCTTCATGCTCCATTCCAACTTAGTCGCGATCTTATCTCCTCCTCCTCCTTCTCGAACTCCCTTTGTTTAGTGACAGCGAGCAGACGTCACCTCAGCCGCCTGACGTTTGCCACGTGTACAAGAAGCACACTCGCAACGTGTGCGGCAAATCGTGCTTGCCACGTGCTCAAGAGGCACGCTTGCTTGCCACGTGCTCAAGAGGCACGCTTGCCAGGTGTATAAGCTGCACGCTTGACATCTGTACTACTAGCACTCTTGCCACGTGTACAAGAAGCGCTCCTCTCAGATGTTGAAAACTCTTTCGCCCTTGGTCGCCGCGTGTTCCTAATCGTTGATGTGGTGGACGGACAACACGCTAACGAGCAGGCTAGCATCGTCTTGACATCCGCCATCGCTTTCCTGATTTATGATGTCTTCAGCTTCATATTATCTATCTGCTTGATATCTCAGCGTTTCAGAAGTAATTTTTTGCTATCCTCACTCCCGTAGAAGGGGGAGGGGACCGGAAGGGAGGGGACCGGGGAGAGCGTGAATCTGTTAACCAAGGACGTCGAACAGGGAAGGATGATATCAAACGGTGCAGACTAATTGCCATGGGAAGGGAGACTTTCATTAGTGTAAAGGGAGGGGTGGGGAGAGACGAAGGGAACGGGAGGGGAGGGGAGGGGAGGGGAAGCGGGAGAGGGTGACTCTGTTTAACAACGACGCCGAACACGGGAGGATGATATCAAGCGTTGCAGAATAATTGCCACGTGTAAGAAGACTTTCATTCCTGTAGACGGAGGGGAGGGGAGGGGAGGGAGGAGAGGAGAGGGTGAATCTGTTCAGCAACCACGTCGAGATGGACGGCAAACGGAGAAGGATAAAATCGATCGGCATGGAAGATGACGTGGACGAGAAGACGGTGCTTGATTTCCACACGGCCTTCAAAGGCAGTTTGTTCGAGAAGTGCCACGTGTCCCCTCTGCAATTGGCTGTGCTGGACACGTGTCCGTTCACCGATATCGCCCTAGCGTTCTTCCGCTTTCTTTCTACGCCATGGAGAATCCGATACATGAGATTTGACCCTAAAGGCTTCGCCAATCTATTTGGATTATGGTATTGCAGATTTCGCTGTGGACCACAGGCCGTAGGATTGCAAGAAGAAGCCCGTCCGATCGAGCCGCAGGTCACGGTGCTCGCCCAGCTCCCGGAGGAAGAAGCTGGTACGATCGCACAGGACCTGGTCCACAACTTCGTGGCCGAGTTCCTAGGCGACCGTGCTCCTGGTCATCGTTATCATGGCAACCCGCATCGTTGTTATAATTCTGATTCTGTTTGCGCCACATTTCCAGGGAGCAATGAGTGCAAAAAAGAGTTACTGCAACAATTAGTGGACCGCGACGGCTCCCCGCTGCCCGGCCAGGTCTATTGTTTTGCTAATCTTCTTTTACGCTATTCCGTTTCGCTCAAAGCTTTTGCCTGGAAGCTAGGTTTTCGCCGCTATGGTCGGAACGCTCTCCGTGAGAACGATGAAGCTCTGGCCCATCGAATGTTTGAGCGTGCCCAGGGCCCTCAAAGACTCATCCACTTGATTCGGGATCCCGTCAGAATCTACATCGTCGATTACGATCTCATCAGCTTGGACGGCCAGCATCTCCCCCTCAGGATATGGCTGTGGGAACGTATAACTCCCCCTTTTGAATCGAAACAGTGGTTCGCAGGCATTCATGAGCGAGACACGGGAAAGCTTCTTGCCCAAACCTGTGGGTATACTCATTATACAGATGTTACGATACTTTCCGAATTAGGAAAGCATATGGAGGAAAAGTACAAGCCACATGGTGACATCCCCACATCTCTGAGAAGATGCTGGAGCTTTGGGGGTGGCATGAAGTGGGTTTTCCGACAAGGCGGGCTCTTCCTTGATGAGGCTCTCGATCGAGAAGCACAAGAAGGAGGAGGAGGAGGAGGAGAAGGAGGCGAAGAAGAAGAAGAAGAAGAAGAAAAAGAAGAAGAAGAAGAAGAAGAAGTAGAAGAAGAAGACGAGGGAGGAGGAGGAGGAGGAGGAGGAGGCGGCTAGAAGAAGAAGAAGAAGANGGAGGAGGAGGAGGAGGAGGAGGAGGAGGAGGAGGAGGAGGAAGCGGAGGAGGCGGCAAAGAAGAAGAAGAAGATGAAGGAGGAGGCGGAGGAGGAGAAGGAGGGGGAGGAGGAAAAGAAACTGGAAAGGGTGGGTTTAAGGAATCGGATGACAAGGAGTATATCAGACAGAGCATGCCCCTTTTCTCGGGAGGAGGTTCGGTAGGCCTGCAGTTGACAAACCCTCCGCGGTACGTTGAGTTCCTTGGCCGTTCCGAGCTCGAGCAGTTGATTCCTCTTGCCGCTTCTTTGATTGGACTCGACAGCCGCGATGGTCTCGAGTTCGATTCCTTCGTCGCAAGGCACCAGCTTCGGCTGAGCCCTCTCGAAGAGGCGACTCGATTTCAACGACAACATTTTGGCCGCATTTTCAGGGGAACTCGATGGGGCGAACTGCCCGACGAATTGGTAGAGAGGATCCTAGGGTTTCTGCCGCCGCGCTGGATGTGTCGACCAACGTAGATGGTGCAGATTACGCACACTAGGTAGTAGCAACGAATGTAGCGGGAATTACGGTCAGGTACGCCGTCCTGGAAAGCCACAGTGTGAGTATGCATCTTACAAGTGCTGGAGCAGATTCTACGGTTTCTGCTTCCATAAACCACTGTCATTTTGGCGGAAGTAGGGAGGGTATACACAGGTGCTAGGGACGCATAGAGCCGGAATTATAGTCATATGCATCGTCCTGGAAGTCCCGATGTGCCTATTATTATGCCTTGCCAGTTGTCTTCGAGAGAATGACAACCTCCCTGCTGGTCAGGTAGGATTTCTGTTCAGCCAGCTCTTATTAGCAGCCTGACAGTTTCTCACCTATCATTTTCTTTCCTTTTTTTTTTTTTTTTTTTTTTGCTGTATTTTTAAATCCTTCCTCTTCTTGCCGAGGCGGAAAAAAACTGAGCGCCAAGCTTTGCCTTCGTGGTTGTGGTAGCTGTGGTGGGGACCACTGTTTGCAGAATATTTTTTCTCTTGTCCTGTAGCAGCCGGAGGACCAGAATAAGGTAGTGAACTAGTGGTAGTGTTCACTAATACAGGAACTTAGATAGGAAAGTAGGGCAGGTACGAATGCACCCAAGAGCTGCTGAGGTCTGCAGTGAAATATCTGCCAAAGGTTCGCCTGTTAGCTAATCTGGATGATGCGTCCAGTAATTGGTATTCGGGAGTAATGTGAAGGTCCCCGGCTTTCGGTTTGATCAAAGGAAAGAACTTCGAAATTTGATGCCCAAAAAAAAAGAAAGTCTCTTGCTTTTCTTCTAAGGATTAAACAGATTTCGGGAATATTTTGGGAGAAGAACAATTTTTGGTTTTGTGTGTTGTTTGCAATCACTAACCTGTCATAACCTGCCAAATTGCAGACTGTGAATTCTGTGCTGTTCTGGGTTTTCGCTGTCATTCTGTGTGTTTGCTGAGATTTCTGCTGTCTGTCTGCCCGAGTGTGCTGATGGCTGATAACTGTCTGCTGCTTGGTTGTCTGGCCGTCTGAGTACTTGCCTGTCTGTTGTGCGGCCCCTAGGCCTGGTACTAACCCTGTTGCCATGAGGGGGCCTGTGCAGTGGGTAGCTTACAAGGGAAGGTAGGGCCACCGCAGCCAAAATAAAGTAGCCATGGGTAGAAGCCAGAGAAGGACAAAAATGTAGTGACTTTGGGTAGCTGGAAGTAGTGCCCGGAGGCCCAGTTGTTCTCAGAGTACGTTCTAGAAGGTACTGGCCTTAAAAGAGTCTTACAACACCAGTACACCCGGGCCTGGAGGTGCTATGCTGCGCGCCAAGCTTTTCTGAACCGCTAGTGGTGCACTTCTCTTCTTTTTTAGCTGGTGCTGCCAGCCATTGTGGTCCGGTAGCCCCAAGCTGTGAAAGCTTTGGAGTTGGCAGCTCGTGATTTTCTGCAAGGCTGGGATTATCTCACTGCCTAAACATTTTTTATTTTTTTTTGCTGATATTTTTTCTGGAGAGATCAACACCAAATCTACAGGATCTGATATTTTCAGATTTTTCTGAACACTACTCTGAGCATGAAAAATCGCTGAAGTTGGAGTACCTTTCCCCACTTGAAAATCAGATCCGCGCCCATACCTTTCCCCGCTTGAAAATCAAATACGCGCTGGTATATTCGGGAGCGAAGTTCGGTTTGGTTCAGCCTACCCATAGGTACTGCCTTCAGGAACATCATTGCAATCTGATATCCTACCTGCAGGTCATAGACCACCAATACCTTCATCAGCCATCGATGCCAAGCCTGAAATCACCCTGCGGGCCAAAAAAAATGAACTGGC